GCTTTAGCTTAATTAATTCCTGCAAATGAGTCCATACTCTCACTGGACTGACTCAGTCTAAAAAAATACACACTGTTAAAGAATCTGTGTCTAAATCCAGGACATAACTGTATAACTGTATTTTTCTCTATAATGCCGGAGAATCTCATCCACAAAAGCACGGCAGGTTTAGCCAACGTTATTTTGTTCCTCTAAAAGCTTCACAGGCTCCCTTCTCTGAATCTGTTGACCCTGAATCAGGACATATCTTTCATGCTTTCAATGGCATAATAACTATTCAACGCTCAGCAAATGTTTTCCAATTTTGCCTCTAAAACTACATTGCTCATAAAACATTGTATAAGTACGCATAGTCCGGCATTAAAAATAGTTCAGCTTCTTTCTAAAGCTTTGTTTTTATTGTTGGATTTGGCACTCACCGGGGAAAATATTTTAAAGGAGTCTGAGTCGTTACTTCCTATGTCATGTCTTGCTTCCTATGAACCCCCCCTCTTTATTCATTTACCAGATCATAAATACTCCACATCAATACATGACAGATGTGCTGTCAGTGAAATCCCTCTTTGGTTTCTGAACAGGCGTCATCAATGGTGGTTGGATATTCTGTCTTTTGTTAAGTCTAGAAACAGGCAATGAGGTGGAGCCACACCGTATTGACAGCTAAAAACAGCTATGCACCTCATGCAAACTTATAAATGACTTGACGGTTAGTAAAACCAAGTCTGCTGAGTAATTGCAGCGTGTACTAATGGAGAAAAGGCCAATTGATACCATGTTGGTTTTTTGTACCACACTGTTGATTGTGCTCTAAAAATGGGCTGCAGTGGTGAGCGCTGTTGTCTCACAGTGAGGAGGTTCCTGATACGAATCTCCGCCTGACAGGAGCCTCCCCATGCATGTGTTGGTTCTCTCCAGGTACTCCGTGTTCCTCCCACAGTCCAAAGACATGCTCGTTAGGTCAACTGGTGACTCCAAATTGGCCGTAGGTGTGAAGTGTGGCTGGTTGTCTGTCTCTATATGTCAGCCCTTTGATTGACTGACTGCCGAACAGTCCAGGGTGTACCCCGCATCTCACCCAATGACAGCCAAAAGGTCGAGGGTTCGATCCCCAGCTGAGCAACATGTCTGATGTCTCCTTGGGCAAGACACTTAACCCTGCATTGCTCCCGCTGCTTCTTCAGTGGCGGTGTATGAATGGATTAGTGGTGTACTTACTCTCTGACGTACGTCACTTTGGATAAAAGCGTTTGCTCTGTGAATTGTAGAATTGATGGATGGATGTAAAAATTGGCATTTTAATATGGGATCCAATGGGGAGTCCTTTGCTTTCGCAGGCAAGCCTCAAGTGGACACTCAAGGAACTGCAATTTTTACAGTCCTGCATTGGCTTCTTTTGTTTTCCATTCGTAAATAAAACAGAACAAAACACTGTCATTAGAGCTGTGGGCAACGATTTACTGTAACAGTCACAAATCAAAATAAGAGGAAATACACTTGTATTCCAATTGTTTAATTAAAGGCACTAGACACCTACTTTTTTTGTCTTTCTGTCACATGTAGTTAGGATGTGCGTGCATGATGTTTGAAGAAGTGGCTCAGTTCCCCTCTCTTCTGCACGGGGGGATCTAATTTGTCCTTATTTCGGAGTTTCTCTTGCACACTGACTTCTGTTGCTGCAGATTTTGTTCCCTGCCAGTGAACATTTCTGGGGGGAAATTGTGCAGTGAATATTGCTTTATTATTAAATCAGCCATGTGAAATGCGGAAACAATGGTGTCATCAAAAAAAAATAAAAAGCCTTCCCACTTGTGAAGTAAAGCAACACCAACGTCTGTGCTGTCAGATAGTCATGGCTGCCAATATTATTTACACAACATATTCATATCTTCAGTGTGTATTGTTCTGAAACCAACAATATGAAAAGCTGATGAAGCTGCTGTCATGAAAAAAAGTCCTTCCCGGTTTGTCACATTGACATTGCTGCCAACTGTGTTTTCATTCTCCCATTTTTTTTTTTTTTTTTGCTGAGGGATCCTCTCCAGTTTAATCAAACACTGCGTCTTGGTTGGGGATTTTTAAAGCTCTTGTCACTGAGCAGCGTTAGCGTGAATTTGAGTTCAGTTCACATGCATCCCGCCGAGCCAGCAAATCTTTGCTGCTTTGATGGATTTTCCCCCTCACTTTGTTATTCACAATCCACGAACACTTGTAAGACAAGCTTCAATACATGCCCTCTAAATATAGCTAATGCCTCTTAAAAGATACACCCTTGCTGAAATGCATTTAATAAATGTTGTAGTGTAAAGGGATTTTGTTTTTAACAAACAGTTTTTTTATTACTTGTGTTTACATCTGTGCTTAAGATCTTAATGTAAACTTAAGACGGCAGACGTCAGAGGGGCCTTCCTCTGCTGGTTTTTCCTTTTCTTACATTGTAGACAGACAGACATTTAGTGTCTAATAGCAAAATGGATGAAGGAAAAATATATTTTTATTCTTTCCTTTTAAATGGGGACAGAGCACATTAAAGGCGTTGTATGTGACATTGAAAACATTAATATAGCAGATATGAATTATATCCAATCACCAGTGAGTAATGCCTTTCTAAAAAGGAGTGAAGTCAGTCTCCGTCTTGGCCCTCATCTTATTTGTGTTTTGCACAGAGGCTCAGGGACACTGTTACTAGAGGCGTGATTGCACTTTTTTTTATTAGCAACAGTACAATTCAATGAGAACAGACAGACTTTCCGCACAACAGGTATAAAATACATCAAAGAAATAAGGAACCAAATCAGCTTTAGAGGAATATACCTGTAGAAACAGCTGAACTCTACACACCAGCTCCCAACTTCCACTTACTCCCTCCATGCCGCGGTAGTTGTAACGGGACGTGTCTTGTTGTGGCCGCCGCAACCAAACGTCAAATAGCGCTACATAAGGAAGTGTGATCTGCTACTGAAAGCTGCCGTACTATTGCTGTATGTGCTGCTGTGATAAAGACTATTCTCTTCAGGATGGTACCGACATGTTGTCTTGACTACGGTCAACTCAGGGTTAGTTTTCATCGGGGATGAGGGGGTGAGGGTAGCAGAGAAAAATCTAACCCATGAGCCCCTGCCATCTTTTGTTGTTGTTTTGATTGAGAGCCCCCTGGTGGCTGAATTTACATAGTGTGCCTTTAAAGTACATGAACATGTAAATCTGACAGATCAAAGCCAAAGGTCCCTGGCAGGTTGAATATACACATGATGTACATATCAACCGAATGAAAGGGATGCCATACTTCATGTTTAAACATGAATTCTGTTCCTTTTTTTCGCATTCCATTTTTTTGTAGGTTGACATTTTTCCTGGTAACACAAATACAAACACACACACACACACACACACACACACACACACACACACACACACACACACACACACACAGACACACACACACACACAAACAAGAGTCATGTGTTTAATGTCCACCAATAGACCACAGCCACAGTTTGAGTTGAATGTGGTTCCATGTTCATATAACCTTGATGTTTCCATCTCACACACGGTATGCATGTCATCCACATTTCAAACAGATTCCCAGATTTCCATTGAACCCCCAGATGTCCCCCTTTGTATCAGAATACCTGATCACACTAAATGCACTGCCCCCTGCTATTCATTTAAAACTGTCTTAGAGGAACTTTTTCCACATTGAGATGAGCTACATTTTGTTCAAGACATGAAAAGATGGCCAGTCATTCCCTCTGCCATTCATTAGATTTGAAAAGTATTTGTTAATAACTTACTGAATACCAGATTTAGGGCTTTAACTTTTTATTGGATTTCCTTTACTGCTCCAGTGATCCAACAAAACCAGTGATTAAAAGAAGTAACCTTTGAGTCATTATTAAAGAGGAACTCTGTATTTTTTTAAAATCCAATTTCAGGTCAGTACATGGTCGTAAATTATCTTTGTACCATGAAGATTTATACATTTTTGACTTACAAGTTTCATTCCTCCTTCAAAAAAAATTTGAATTTATGTATGGTACCTGGTAAATGGTTTCTAGCTCTTTCAATATTATTATTATGGATTATTTTTCAGTAACAACACTCACTGTGAAATGTTCAGTCTACAAGAGAAAACCATGAAGTTTTTTCTGAATGCTTCAAAGGAAAAGTCATGATCAATGCATCCCTTCACTTAATAACTCAATCAGTTACAAAAGATGTGTCAAACTCTTCTTCATGAGCATTGTGTAACACAGCTGCAGCTACTTCTGCCGAGAAGTTTGGTCAGACTTCATTTCATTTTATTTTTTTCTTAGGACGACCTTGCAGCTTTTTGGTTTTCAAGCCTTTGTAGGCAATTTGAAAAGTAAAAAGCAAGAGTGGCTACTTCTTAAAAGAACAAAATGTGAAAGCCACTTCCCTAATATGTGAACTTGACATCATTCACATTTAAGAATGTGCTCGTCTAGAGGAGTGCATGCATCACCTCTTCTGTTTTTCATGTGTGGCTGGTTTACAAAGTGGAAGATTTGCTCATGCACAATGAGTGAATGTGCAGAAATCTGTGCCTGTAGGCGAGCCATCCAGTGATTTCATTCTTACTGACTGATTGGACGGGATTATTACAGCCCAGCTCTGGCCAATGATGCTTGATTTTTTTTTTTTAAAAGCATCTCATTTATTGATGGAGGAATGCTTTAAAATACGTCCTGCCCTTCACTCATGTGAGGCGTGGTATCTGGAATAGTGAAATGAGATGCAGACTGTCAAATGAAACCATGTTCATTACAACACATTCAAGTTTTTCTCATTAGTGAACACTTCAGTTATGGATCGGATAGAATCCCTCTGCATTACATCGAGCATTGGCTGCTCCGCCCATGGCTGCCCTTCCCCTAATGGAGGACCAATCCTCCACTGTTGGTCCAGAACTTTTCCTTCTTTGTACCCCCTCATTGTCGGTGTTTTTTTTTTTTTTTTTTTTCTCTGTGTGAATTCAACAGCGGGTTCAACTTTCTTGAACCCAGACGGGGACTCTGGGACGGAGGCAGACAGCGAGCCTCACTTGGCCTTTTACACCGACCCAAACCGCAGCCGCCGCCGGAGTCGAGGTATGAGAAATGGTAATGCCAACAGCGCGTGGGGCTCAGGGGGTAAGGAGGACTCGCACACCTACAGACAGTTTTTCTCCCGCCGTCTGATGGTATTACCATCGCCACGACGCATGACAAGTAACCTTTGCAGTGCAAATATCAGATGGATTGCTCCAGTGTTGTGTGTGTGTGCAGCTGGTCTCGACTCCTGCAAAAACATTGTACATAGACTCTGTGTAAACGATATGTTGTGTATTTACATATGTGTGTAGTCTTTCTACAGTGAGCATGTAACACTGATCTCAGTGCATCTGCATACTATCTTGTTGACTGAAACCAAACAAGACAATGAGATCAGAGGTTTACCGAGCAGAGTACTGGGCTACTGATTGTGACTCATGACGTGGACAAACGCTGGATTGTGAAATAATATTGCACACAAATATTATTTCTGAAGAGTATCGTGTGCAAATGTTGTCAAAGTGAAGTGGTGCAGCATGCTTTATCTGTCGGCATGCCATGTCCCTGCAGATTTGATGTACAGTAATGGGGGTGTGGAAGAGAGACATAGAGAGGAGAGAGAGAGAGAAACGAGAGAGAGAGGGGAGAAATAAAGACACAATGCCCTCAAAATAATAGCTGCTGTCAGAAGGCGTTACAAGCCTTTACAACACCTCCAAGCCAATTACTCCCCCGTCATGTGCACAGGTGGCACAAACACGGCAAAGCCCTCCAGAAGTGCAGCCAACACCTTTAATTAGAGCTCCAGAATAGAATAAAAGTAAAGCTGCCTGAGCTATGTTGTTTAGATCCAGAGGAGAGGGTGATTCATGGAGCGTGACAAGAGTGTTTTCTTCAAGTCGAGGGGGGGAGGACAATTTTTTTGAAAAATATTCCACATTGATTGAACGGTCAAATGTGTAAAAAAAAATATCAGATGGCAAAAAAAAATAAAAAATATGCCCTGCACCCCGTTTCTGGGTAAGTCAAGGTGATTAAATAAAAAGTGACTTCATACATAATGCGATAGGTCAGCTTTCTACTTTGGCTTTTTGTTTAAAGGATCGCCTCGGGGACAGCTCTTTTTGAATGCGAAAGTTCCGCCAGAGCAATTTAAAAGTGACAATGTAATCTAGAGTTATCCTGTCAGCGACAAAAAACAAAGTTTGAGCGGCTTGATCCAAGGTCACAGTGGCTTTGTGTGCGAGTGTATGAGTGTGTGTGTGTGTGTGTGTGTGTGTGTGCATATACGAGGTCACATTTAACACTTTCTGTATTGCACTCTGGAGTAAAAGAGATAAGGGAAGCGTTCTGGCTCATGCAGAGAGACAGAGAGAGACAGAGAGAGAGAGAGAGAGAGAGAGAGAGAGAGAGAGAAAAAAAACAACCTCTGAACCATTTTTATTTAGGCCCATGTCTCTTTTTTTTTCTCCCACATCCCAGCGTTGATGTTAATACCCTTCAAAGGTAAACCTTATTTCTGTGCCGCTGAGCTATGCCTCGCCTAAACCTCCCAAAGGCTAGAGGGGGTGGTTTGATCCAAAGGTTCCTTTTCATGGGCGCTTAGCCCCTTTTTTTTTTTTTGGGCTTGTTTGTAAAATGACTTCCTGTGTCTGCAGTGTGTGTATATGTTTGTGTGTGCGTGTGTGCATGTATGTTTGTACTTCTGTTTGGGTTGGGTTGGGACATAAAGCGGTAACTGCTTCACATATCTCCATCATTTGTTGTTCCTGCCACACCCAACTCCCTCCCTCCCTCCCTCCCTCCCTCCATGTGCGTTTGTTCTCAGCAGCAGGTTCCCCGCGGAGCCCCATCAATAAGACCACCCTGACTCTGATCAGTGTCATCAGCTGCGTGATTGGCCTGGTTTACTCCTCGCACCTCGCCTGCAGCCTCGCAGTCCGGGTGATCCTACACGTGCCAGAGCACCTCATCGCTGACGGTAAGACTGACACCTGACACCGGCTTCATCACACAACACACACACACACACACACACACACACACACACACACACGTGCGCATGCTCAAAAGCCCCCGGGGGTCTGAGCTGGCATTTTTCTCTCCCTCTCACCGGGGAGTTTAGTTGTCGTATCTCTCAAACAGAGCACTTTCGTTTCTGCAGTCGAGCTGCCGATTTCGCTTTGCACTCTTGCAAAGACAAAGGTAAATGCCAGGTCAACCACACCCCCACCCCCCCCCCACGTTTCCTTGTGTGAGACCACATAGCAAATGTGCCCTCAAAGCACCAGAGCACGTTGAGGCAACCTGCAGCAAGCCCTCCCATCACTTTTCCCCCCTTGTACTTTCTGAAATGTTGAACCACCTCGCTAATGAATTTCAATGTTGCACCTGCAGGAAAAAAAGAAAAGAAAGAGCACCCGCAGGGGGGCCGGGGCGCCGGCTCCTGCTGGCTCGTTGCCATTTTTCAAGTGTCACAGGAGTGAGCTGGCAGTCCAGATATATTATAGACTGTGACTAGGCTCACTCATCTATCATCTGGAGGTCTGATTTGATTCTGCTTTCAGGAGGTATACACAGGGCTGCCAGGGAGAGATTGAAATTCCAGGGAGGCGTCCGGGGAGGGGAACTTTGAAAGGGGGAGATGAAAGATGGCCAACTTGCCTGTTGAATTACAAAACCAGGATCGATTTGAGAATGTTTCCATAAATGTCTCCACAATCTTATCAGACTTGATTCGATGTCACGGCGAATCAGATGAAAATCTTGATTCAACCACTGGGGAGAGAAGCTATTAATGCCAGCAGCTGTGCATGGGTCTGCCTTCAAATACCGGGAAGGAAAAGCACGTTTCTCCTCGCCCCCGACATCAGGGGAAGTAATTCTCTGCAGATGTTTGCCTGTTTACTGGATACAAATATCTATTCAAGGTAGATAACAAGGGACAGAACGCACTGTCCTGATATAGAAATGCGGCTGGACATTATCTTCTCATATTGTATTCATAAAGACATCTGTGGTTTTTTCTTAAAGGTGTAAAACTTCCATCTTGTCATCGACTGGGGGGGGGGGGCTAGTCCATGTGCTCATTTGGTGTCTTGCGATATAAAAGCACTTTGAGTAGAAAAGTGCTTTATAAAAAATACTCCACAAAGAAAGAGACAAAAGGAAGGCTTCAGTGACAGATTATCTTGTTTTTTTTTCTATTTCATAGAAATGTTGCCATTGTTTAAGTGTTAAGTTATAAACCAATAATGAACACAAACAGTAGAAGGTGATGAGCCTTATTTAAACACAGCAGTGCTCACCAGTGAGAGCCAAAGACATCATCAAATTGGACATGAAATGTGCCATAAAAAACGGAAACATTCCTGATTGGTGTCACAAGTTCGAGCAATTTAATGTGCCTCCACAATCAAGCAAATAAGAAGAGTGTCCAGCTATGTGTGGCGTGTGCTCTAGTTTTTAAGAGCTCCATCAAAGGGGAAGGCACTAATTAGGGCACGGAGAGTCTGCCAACACGCTGTTAAATCTGCCTGGGTTAGCAAATGCCCAGTGCTCCCCCGTGTTTGCAAAAGGACGGGCCATTGGAACGAAGAGTCACAGAGATCACACAGCGGATAACAGTCTCCACTTCAGTTCCACCTGCTGTGTTACCGTGGGAACACTGTCGCCCTGTGATATACAACTGGCGGTCTTTTTTTTAAATCACTGTATCTTTAAAAAAAACATTTGACACAGCTGTGTTAAATACTTGTTTCTGATTGGCCATATATAGGCTAGCAACGATCTGCTATCCCTCCAAAGATCACTGTTGTTCAAGAGAAGCAAATGTTACTCAGAAAAGCAGATGGTTGCTTTAATCACAGAATCTGGAGGATTGATCAATCCATGTAGAAGAAGTTGGGCAAATTTGACGTTTGTCTGTTTACTGTGGGGAAAAAAGGGGAAGGAGACGGAACAGCGGTCAAAAGAGGATGAAAGATCAGACAGAGAAGTCAAGAAAACTGATGACGGCACAAAAAGTAAACACATGACAGAAGGTGAAATGGAATACAGCAGGGTTAAAGACTGGTGAATGGAAAAGATAATATTTTATAGATTCTGACATGACGAGGCAGAAAAATGATTATGGTGCTGATCTGATTCATGTGGATCTGCTCACCGTGCCAGCACCACAACATAGCGTTTCTTTAATGTCTGATGATATAGTAAGGTCATTGTATCATTAAATTCAGTAAACATCTTATATATTGCTCCTTTAAGTGTTTATTGTAAAGATATAATCAGCTGATTATCTGAGCAGGAAGTCAGAGGGACTTACCCTGAGCTTCGTTTAAACGTAAAAGCCAGCTTCCTGTTAGCTTTAAATGCAGTTTGCACATACAGAGGATGTCTTCACATGACGTTAGCATATCACACAGGAGTGACATTCATGGACAGATTCCTGGAGAGTTTATAGGAGCAAACTGCAACATGTGAGAAACTGTTAATTAATCCTCATTTGTTACTTCCACTGCTCTTACTTAGAACAGTTTTGAATGACACTGTGAACATGTTTTATTTTTTAAAGGTAAAAGTGCAGAGTAGTTCACAAAGTTTCAAGTGGGAAGTTTCTGTAAGAGCCTCAACTTTAACCAAGTTACCATCCAGTTACAGTCACCAGGGCTCGTTGCCAATTCAATTAGCCTAAACATAACTGAGTTAAAAGCACGCTGTATGTAAAGTCACTGGCTCAGCAAGAAGTGTATGAAAAGGAGAGAAGCTCATAACACAATTTACTGGTACACCAATGTGAAGGACGACGACAAAAACATGTACAGACGCACTCAAATCTTCCATTAGCAACAGTCCAAACTACACGTCCATGTGCTTCTGATATTGAGGACATTGTGTGAGACGTCCTCTCTTTTTTCATCCAAACATCCAAATGTGCACATTCAAACCTCTCTTTCCTCCTGGTGCATGTATTTGTCTGCAGAGCAGCAAAGTGGAGGCATCAGCTGGCTGCCTGCTGTTACTGATAATAACTAAGTGCTAGTCTTTTATTTTAAGTGTTGCTTCATTAATCATGTCTCACAGTTTGAATAGTATTATTCATTTTGTGTGAAACAGTCAAAATGGTTGTCATTTATCCAACTGCTTTTACTTCCAAAAAAATACTTTGGATGCATCAATGTATCAGCTGATTGTCGTTGTATGCAGAAAAAGGCCATCTGCGAATAATGTGCCATACACTGTGTATCAGAGTCCGACAATGTCATGCTGGAAAGCAAGTATACCTAACTGTAGTACAATGGATAGTCTGAAATCGGGGAGAGCGAGAGGGTGGGGAGTGACATGCAGGAAAGGAGCCACAGGTTGGATTCGAACCCAGGCCACCCAGGACTAGCCTCCGTGCATGGGGCGCATGCACTATAAGCACTAGGCCACCGGTGCCCCAGAGAAGATGTTTTTTTATTTGGCAGAAGAAGTCACCTATTGGATACACTGATCTGTTTTCATGTTGAAACGTCTCTGAGAAATTCAGCAGTTTGTAAGACATGTTCCAGAGACTTTTCAAGAGGCGGGACGACTAACACCAATTTGAATCTTGTTGCTCGTTGGGGAAACAGAAAAAGTTATGGAAAATAAAAAGCATCCCTATCTGAATGGTCACTCCACTTCACATCTGTAACTGTATATGTATTTTCAAAACTGGTGCATCTAAGTTAGTGGTTTATATATATATGAAAGTATTTTTTTTGCTTTTATTAAACTCTTTCTGATAGTTTTTGAGGTTTTATGACAATTAGGAATACTTTTTTTTATCAACAATAATTTAAAACCGGCCCCAAAAACAACCTCTGTCCATTGGGTCTCCTGTGCTCTTGTTGTGTTTTGTTCTCTCACTTTTTTTTTTTTACAAATGCTGTAAAATTCTAAATCAAAAGTCTGTGGCACACTGAAAATAACTTTACTGTATTTTTTTTATTGTGAGCGAATGCCCCCCATTGATATCTAATTGGCCGCCCTGATAGTGTGTCTTTCACATCATTAATGGAGATCAAAAAGGTACAAAATAAAAACATTGCCTGCATGTGCCCACAGATTTCATTCCACCCCTTCAGCGCCCCCGGACATCAAAAAGTCTGGACATGCCCCTGTCCTCTTCCCCCTGTCATTATTTTCTGCTTTTCCACCATCCATACACTCTTTTCACTCACTCTCTCTCTTAATTTCCTCCACCTGAAGCTCACCTCTTGTTAATCCTTTCCTCTTCCTGTGATCTCCCTCAGGTTCGAGGTTCATCTTGCTGCAGGGGAGCCAGTTAGACGCCTCAGACTGGCTGAACCCGGCTCAGATCTTGCTGTACTACCAGCAGAACGCCAGCGGGCCCTGGGTCAACGAGCTGTGTGGACGACGCCTCCTGGACCCCTGTGAGCACCAGTGTGAGCCAGAGTCAGGTGAGAAATGAAAACCAAGCGGAAACTTCCTGTGTTGTAAAATGAAGCCTATGGAGAAGTGTGCAAACAATGCAGCAGCTCCTTGAGTGTATACTGGAGGCTGGCTGCAAAAAGACAAGTGTTGAAATGTTCATTTTGACCACAGAAATAAATAGGAGCTGTGTCAGCTCCAACTCTTTGCCTGTAACTACATCGACCCAAAGTTAGGAGGAGATCAAAGAGCATGTCCAGTTTGGCATTAACCATCTCTGGCTTAAAAGCTCCCATTCAGTCACTGATGGATGACACCACTGAGACTTCTTTAATTTACTATTATTAGTATTTAACTTACTAATTATAAGTTCAGGAAAACCAGTTGTTAGCTCTAAGGCTCGACTTGCAGTCATCACTCTGCAAATGGAGAATAAAACTACTGTTGTACAAATTTTATTGTACAATTTAATTTGTTAGTGCAGTGGCCAGGACAAAGGCATATCCCAGACGCCAATGCTAACTCCATGACATAAAGATGCTAACACCACGACACCAATGCTAAATCCATGACATAAAGATGCTAACACCACGACACCAATGCTAACTCCATGACATAAAGATGCTAACACCACGACACCAATGCTAAATCCATGACATAAATATGCTAACACCACGACACCAATGCTAACTCCATGACACAAAGATGCTAACACCATAACACCAATGCTAAATCCATGACACAAATGCATAAATCTGCAGCATTAATGAAAAAAGCCACAATACAAATGTAACAAGTCTAGTGTCTTTTTAATGTCATTTTATTATTGTATTTATTTTTGTAACAGAACCACAGGTAATTGAACTCAAAACACAGTCTTTGGTAAGGGGAAAAAAACAGTTTTTACTTCTTCCAAGCAGACAGAATCCAAAAAAGTGATCCAAGAGAAACAAAAGGCTTGTACGCTTCACACAGAGGTCAGAGACCGTGTTGAAACTACAATGTTCCGAAAATGGACGACAAAAAGATCATCTAAAAAACTTTCCCCTGTGCCTTCTTGCCGGTGAAATAATCCTAATTACCACAAGGTTGGGATTGAAATAAATTAATATAGGCTACCAGGCTACAAGTAACAAAAGTGAAACCATCACCTTCCTGTCCACTCAGAAATTAACGTCAAAATAAATATGATTGTATGATATTAATTGTTACATTTATGTAAGATATAACCGACACATAATGTTTTAAGCATACAAATGTACAACTGCACAGCATTCTTAAGTGAATGAAATATGTTGTACATGTGCACAGTGTGCATGTGCATGCGCCTGTGACTGTAGGAGTGAGTGTGTGTGTGTATGGACATGCAAGCAGACGCTTGGGTGAACTGTGGCACGGAGAAGTTTTTTTTGCACATTTGTAAATACTGTTTTTATGTTGTTTTCAATGTATTGTCCATGCAGCAATTTCCCAGCATCCTAGACAAATTTCTCCCTAGGGAGACGAATAAAGAAACCTTGAACCTTGAATCTTGAATAAAACATCATCTGTGTCACTTTACGATCATCGTTAATGTTCGTGAACGGTCGGATGCGCGACTCGCTCTAAATGTTGCGGCCGCAAGGAATTGTGGGGCGTCATAACTCATCTCCTTTGGTAAAGGATGGTCCAGTGTATCCTATGCTAAAGGAGGTTATAAAGGAAGCATCGACCCACCTTTCCTTAACTTTTAGAGAATTCAAACGGCTCTTATCATGGACGCCACTTAAATGCTTCCGGATCATTTCACTCAGTTAGGAACCTTCCTATCCAAAAATGACAATTCGAACGCACCCTAAATACTAAGGTGAGGGGGAAGACAACGAGATGCAGCTGTGAACAATCAGGGCGGGGCAGACAATCACACAGGTGGGAAACACATGAGGGCAGGAAGTGAAGGATCTGAAATGAGAGGAGAGGTTAGTGATCCAAAACACGAAATAATACAAGTAGAAATTAAAACATAACCTAAGACACAGAGCTGGACATGACACCAAGGAATATTCTGGTTTAAACTCTCTTATTGAGAGACTTCTCACACACATAGGCCCGATATACACACATCAACAAACAGGACCTGTGGACATGCGTCAGAGGGCTGCTACACAGGGAGCCTGCCAGAGCAGTTGGGGGTTCAGTGCCTTGCTCAAGGGCATATTGTCAGTACTCGGGATGTGCCTTGGCACCTCTTCAGATACCAGACCAACTTCCATATTTTTTCTAAAACTAATATGCAAACCTGTCACAGTTGTATAAAATCATATTTCAAATGACAAACAAGCAAGCTAAGAAGAGTTGAGAAATGTAAATTGTAAAAAATATATATATATTTGATTACAAGTATTACAGTCAATTACTACTACAATTACTTTTTACAACAACTGAGTAAAACTGGAGACCAGACACATAGAAATGACCGATCATATGAAAGAAGAAGCCCCTCTAGCTGTTTGCAGTTCTGACCATAACTTTAGTCTGTGGTGCTGCAGAAAACAGACCATCACGAGGAGTTGACCCGGTTTTCTCCAGGCGAGCCGTCTGTAGAGCTGATCAATTAGAGTGCACGTCAACTTCATTTACACTCCAGGTAACCACAACCAATCCGTTTACGACACCTCTTTCAAACTGGGAGACAGTCTGTGAACTGAGTTTGAAGAGAAACTTTACTGCAGAGAGAAACACATCACTGGGGTAGAGGATATGCAATTAAGATAAAATAGCACATTTACAAATCGTCAAATGAATGTCAGAGTAGAGCTGCTGAATTTTCTTTCTACTCTGAGTGATGTCATAATTAAATCACGTTCATCGTATAATTTTCTCTTTCAATGGCCTGTACATTTCACAGATGAAAGTAAACACGGTTCAGGCACAATTTCACTGAAATGAAATAAAAAAGATTTAGGATGAATTGAACAAAATACATAATACTATATAACTATAAAAGAGGAAATGTTGAAGTGTGTCTGATTGGTAACACTTTCAATTACTGTCACAATGTTCACCATTATCTAGATGCTTATTAGCATGCTAATTATTAGCATACTCGCTGCTTATTAGTCGACTCAAAGTTTGACCTCAATACCCTCCTCATTACTGCTTACTGATAGGAAGTTAGGAAGTTGTTGAACACTAGTTATTATCTTGATATGCTTTCCCTTATAAGGTCGATATAAGCAAAAGCTTTTTGAGCTAATTACTTTAGCTCAAATAGAGTCATCAGACTGCACTGCGAGTGGTTCTAACTCATTTGCTGTCATTTAGTCCATCCATTATGAATCGTTGTTTGAGCTGAACTGGGGGGACGTGCTTAGAACAACCACTGAGCGTAACCACCTTGGCTACGGTGCCCCAGCCTCAGGTGAGAAAAAAAGAAAAAAAAGCTGTTGGTAAATCTTTTCCCATGGTTTACAGATGGTTGGTATTCTGCAGCATCAGCCTGGAATCTGTTGTAGAAAGACTTAAAACTCAAGGAGCTGGTGTCCTTAAATGTTTTTAAATCTAAATTGAAAGACCTGGAAGCAGATTCTACAGGATGTCGATGCTTTTAGCTCAACTGCTTTAACTACTGACTCACAGATTTGACTCCCAGATGTTTATCTTCTAATGCAACATTAGGTGTTTTTGTATATTGTACTCTGTTTGTGTCTGTCTGTAACTTTGTGTTTTTGCTGCTGTTTGTCTTGACCAGGTCTCCCGTGGAAAAGAGGTTCTTAATCTCAATGGGACCAACCTGGTTAAATAAAGGTTAAATATAAAAATTAAAAATTAAAAAAAATCCTTATGCACTGTTTCAAATCTGTGCCCACTGATTTGCAAAATGTGGACATTGATTGATGAAATAGCACCCACAGTCTGCAGAACATTGCGCACAGATCAGGAAACCGCATGCCCTCAGAATTCATATTTGTAAGACGTGGGACTGGATATGCAAACAGCCTTTTTCCCCCCTACCTGAGCCTTGCTGGGATAAGTACTCTGCTATTAAGGCAGAGACACAATTAGTATCTGTTACTTTCAGATAAGTTGATGAGGTGTCTGAACAGATAAACTAAACGTAAAGAATACTGAGGAAAGAAACAGCATGTCAGTCATTTTTGATTGATGCTGGATTCTATACATTTTTCTTTGTGACCTTCAAAGTGAATATAGGAAATGTGCTGATTGAAAAATGAAAGAAAGCTTAGCACTAAATTGCGGTGCATGTAACCTTACCTTACTCTGAACGGGTAGCTAACAACAGCTTTGCACTTGTTATAAAACTGCTGAAGCTGTGGTTTTGAAGGCAATCACATGGCTTTTATGGTTCCAACTGACAAAATGAAACTTGATGCACGGGTTAAGCACAAAGACAATCAGACCCTTAAGTCTTGAAAAAAAACAACATGTCTTGGACCTTTAAATCAATTTAACCAAGCATGAAAACTAAAATGCAGAATGTGCAGAAGTTAATATAACCTGAAATAACACACATACACAAACCTAAGATGGGCAGATACTGTACACGGTGTTTTATTCAAGCTTCTGACCACATTTAAATTCCACATGATGAAAACAGCACGCTGATAAAACAGAATAGTAGAAGGATTGTGTTGTGTAACAAGCTCTTTATCACTCTCTCTGCCAGTAAATACATTTTGATCTTCCCCGCCGCCAAAGAGAGCGGGCGTGTGTAAAACAGAATATTATAAGACAGATTTTTGTTTTAACAAGGGAGGAACAATTTAGCTGAGAAAAACAAGTCTTCATATCTGGAAGTATGTCTCACTCCATACAGAGTGCTTTAAGGTGAACCCCCCGTGGTGTCATTATTTAAGAGTTATTGTTCAATGATGTCATTTCAGCCTTTTAATGATTTAAAAAACCACATTTGATGATTTGAATGAATTCCTGTCTTGAATAAGATCTGGTGGGGTGAGGTGATAAATGTGACTCATTCTGTCTCCCTGTGGAGGTGTTGACTGTACTGACTCTCCTCCCGCACACACAC